TTAGATTTTAAGACAGAAGTCTTCGAGACATTTGATGCTTTGAAGGATTGAGGTTTTTTGTACGAAATGCAATAGCAAAGGGAAGGAAAAATTAAATCGGGAACTAGAAAAAGCCTACAGCACTTTGCTCGATATGGACCCAGCTTGATGAAAATGTAATCGAATTTGAACCAGAGACGCCGAAATGCTCTAAAATGCGTAATCCTTATGTACTGGTGGAGATTCAATTACTTTCAAATTTAAACAATACTACTATGACTTTTTTGGATTTTAAATATGTACATATTCATATAAATCTTTTAACCTTAAAATTTATAATAATAAGTACCTACACATTGTATTACTTACTGTCATTAAAATTTGTAGAATAAGTTCGCAAAAACTTACCTGTAATGAGAGAAAAATATAAATGTTTAATATGTTGAAGACAATAACTACGTAACTAGTTAATATAGTAGCAAATGTTTGATATTAAATATTATTATTTTAATCGAAATACACAGGAGAAAACCAAAATCATAAAATAGTTCGATTAGTGAAGTCAAATTAGTAATGCAGATTGTTTACAAAGTATTCTGTTTTTTAAATAATGTAGTATGTCTAATCATAAAGCATAAAATATTTTTGGGACCCAGGCATGTGGAATTGTCGCCATCTTCAATAAAAATGTGGTTAACGTTTTTTCCAACTCAGAGGACCAGGAATCTTAACGGTTCAGCCAAACTGTGCACGGCGTTAGGGACTGTACATGCGACTTAGCTAAACCTTAGTAGGATTTTGGTTTGAAATTGGATTAATGATTCCAACGTTACCAGTATTGAAGCTATAGAGTTCAGCTGCAAACGAGGAACTATTTTAATGTCTCCAGTTTCTACATCCGTGCCTTCGCTTTCGCTGGAGGAATCTAACACTATTTCTAGGATGCTTATAAGACTTTTAGCAAAACTTGTTGAAGGCCCATCAATGTTGTTTGATATACTGCTTAACCGCTTAGCGCCTGAAGCTACATAAAAGCCGGTTATTGTCCGCGCCGGTAAGACAGACTTAGAGTCGTTTCAACCATATTAGAGTGGACTCTCCGTCCATGTACACATTCGCATTCGCAAAACATTCGTATCATTTGATGCGAATGCGAATGTCGAATGCGAACGTGTAAAATAATGCGAATTATTCGCATAACGAATGCGAATGCAAATATTCGCAAGATCCCTGTTATCTATGGGCATTTGAAAGGACAACGTAACACCGTCTTTCACAGCTACGTATGTACATATGTTTGTCGAAAACCATTTTATTCCGTCTGAGCAATACAAATGTAAAATAATTTACATAATTATTAATAATCAAAAACAATTAATTTTATTGTAGAGCTAGTCCCATAAGCTTTTTTGATTATTTTTGTTTTCTTTTCTTCCAATTGGCTAAAAATACTATTATTTTTTTTGATTATTTTTAATGGTAATCGGCAATTATTAATTTAAAAGTGGAAGTAATGATAATTAATGATTTAACAGATTTAAAAAAATAATTAATTAAATCGGTAATCATTACTTAACAGCTCTGCAATTAATCAATAATGAGTAACATAATAATAAGTAATAGTAGGTAAAATGAAGCGTGCAAGCGTACATGGTTACTTAGGCGACTAATAACCTCTAATGCCTAAAGGTATGCTACACCCCAAGGGCGTATTTAGGAGTTGAGCGGGGGTTGTAGGTGTTTACACAATTGGCACCAAATTTCGGCGAATACCCAATCGTGCGACATTGCATTTAAACTTGTATTTATTCGGATGTTGTTAAAGCATAAACAACTAACCAAAATTAAATAACCACAAAAATAATACTTTTAAACTTTTCAAAATTTGGTGCGGCTATAATTTGTTCGATTACTGTACATAAGTTGACTATGATTACTCGGCCGTGCTATCATAGTAGCGCAATGCCACTAATATTTGACTTACAAACAAAATACGGGCAGGAGTTTCAAAATTTCAATCCTGTTTGTGCGAAATATTTCATGTTTATCAGTATTTTTCTTTTAATCACTCTATGTACATATGTTGAAATATGTGACATATAAATAAGTGAAAATAAAAAAATATTTTGTCAGAACTCCAATGTCAAAGAATCCTCTTGATTAACGGGAGAGGTACAGTGCTATAAGCTGTAGGTACTCTGCATAATTTCCAACCATGCCTACTCAAACATTTGTTGATTGATGTTTGTGTAAACACATTCAATACGGTCCTTCCCTCCCATCGAGTTAATCAATGGTTATGTTAAAATCACAAGCGAAGTAGCTTGGAAAACACCTTTTATATATTAAACGGAGAGACCTTAGGCTCCTGCTAAAAATTGAAAGGACCTTGGAGCAATAGGTGTGGAACGTGGGAGATGGAAGTCATAACTTGTACGAGTATGTGCCTAGAAGTCTAAAGACTGAGTAAATCTCCACAATTGGAGAAGACTTTCGGCAAAGCGGCTAAACTAATACAACAGTTTTCAAAAGACACAGCAATGTTCCTTCATTGGACGAGGAAATTCTCTGACCTCAGCCATTTTAAATTAAAGTCATTACCAGGGAACGGATTTTATGGAAATCGCCTTTTTTCTGCTAAAGAAATAGTGTATATTCGGTTAAGAATGTCCACGATTTAGCTTTGCCTGATATCATATATACACATTTAATGTTGCCCTTGTTTGCCTTTTTTAAGATATCTGCCTTTTTTGCCTTTTCTACCTTAAAAGCCAGTATGCAGCTCTCAAGAAAAGCAGAACTCCATATAAAATGAAGTACAAGAAATGGTTAAGAAATTTTCTTGTGTCGAATTTCCTTAAGGCAGTACGCAGAGCCAACCCATGATTGCAACAGAAATATATGTCCCTTCCATTATTTCTTGAAGAAAGAGTGAGGCAACAGGATGTGAAGTATCAGATGTCAAAATACCTTGGACACACACACACACGAAATAATGGCAATTTTTTTCTTAGCAGTTTTCTTGAGAGCGCATACTGGCCTTTAGTTGTAAAGGGCAAGGAAAAAGCCCTTATTCCTGACAGCAGAAAGGGTTTGAACGTTCCATATTTAAATTGAACGCCACTTGTATTAACTCACGTCGAGCGCACGTTTAGTAAATTCAAGGTTTTTCTTCGCGAAAATCGAATTTAAATGAAGCTAGAAAACTGCAGAAGCATCTTGTGGTTCAACGTTACTACAACTATAGAAACTGAAGTTTTGCGAGCTAAAACATCGAAAGGAAAAAATAGTGAGAGATTCTAAGTAGAAATTTTTCATATAATGAAAGCAGTTCATAGTTTTTCTTTTGTAAAATAAAAATTTTTAGTTGTAAATTAAAAATTTCTAAAATAAATGAATTTTTTGATTATTTTTCGTCTTTTTTCAATGCCTTTTTTGCGATTTCTAGTGCCTTTTAATGCCTATTTCGCTATTTTATTTTGCCTTTTTATAGATAAATCCGTTCCCTTAATACACATTACACAAACCACTGCACAAACTTCTTTATAAAAAATATGTTTGCCCCTGGCAAGAATGCCATTGATTTGGAGTGCCGAAAAAAATACCCCTGAGTAGATTAGGCTATAACATTTAGATTAAAGTAACTTATATTAACACATATCAATACCTAGGCATATTCATGCATATAGTAACTCATTGAAAAAACTCATACATACATACACGTACATATATAATCCGCTTACTTTTTAATGAATAGAAACCTTGGTTAACCGCGCTCTCTTAGTCTCCAGTTGTTGGATTTTTAAAATGTGATTTTCTTATAGAACTTAGTTTGGAAAATTAAGTGTTATTTTTTATTAAAATAGTCGCGCTATTTACTATCATTTATTATGAATTACGAAATTATTTTTCTTGGAATTTTAATTTAAGCTTCTTAAGTGTTATATACGTCTTTTGCTTTTGTTAAAACTTTCAACTTTTAAATCCCTGTATTATATATATGTTTTAACCTTGTTTTTTTAATGTTTTGCTTTATACAGTTGAGATATTTGAGTTATTTTGAATAATAATATTTGATTCTTTACTAATACGTTCTTGTTTTTTTTTCTTACTAAAAGCTATTTTTGCTCTTCTTTTATATCTACTAAATGTTTATTTTATTTATAAAAATTTCAAATATGCGTTGTTAAATTTTTTACATTAGTCACTAGCATTTGCAAATTAGGGATATGCACATATCATTTTTGAAAATTGTTGAGTTCACTATCTAAAATTTCATAGTATTTAATGCAAATATTAAATATGTCTATTTAACTTACTTTTCAAAGCATAATTTCGTGAGTTAAGTTCAAAATTTTACACTTTAACACCACAACTTATTTTGTGTTGAAAAATTTCAATTTTTTATTTTCAGGTTGTTTTGCACGTATTCAAGTTTATTTTAAAAATTATTATTTTTTGCGTGTAGATTTTGTTATTATTCTCTTTCAAATGAATTAACCTGGTTTCAGCTTTAATAATTTATTTTTAAGTGTTTTTTAAAACTTCTTTAGTTTTTGCTTTAAAGATATTTTCTTGCTAAATTTTTTGGCTCCATTAGGCACGTTTTTAAAACTATAAATCTTTGCTTATGTGTATCGGTGGCTAAAATATGTTTTATTAATTGAATCTTTTGATCACCACGGAAGAGTTTAGGAAAGCTAAGCAGTTGCTGTTGGCGGTTGGATTATTTAAGCTAATATTTTTAAATTTATTTGCCTTCTTGTTTAGCTAAAATACTAAGTATGTCTTTTGACTAAAAAAGCATTAATTTATTAATTTCCAAAACTTATATGTACCTAAAAATTTTTCAAATTTTAAATTTTAATTTGAATTGCGTACTTAAGTTTTCTATAAAATTTCTCCTTTGGCTTCAGAAAGTATTTAGCTTGGACGTACTCTTTGCACTTTTGTTAAAATTACCGGTTAAATATTACAATTTTTTTTTTAATTCGTTCTCTTACGCCCAGGCGCGCTCACAAGAACTTGAATTTACTTAATTTTCTTTGACACGTTTTGACACATTCTACATATGTATGTATGTACATATCACTTTACGTTCGTTTGCGCGCTACTTTGTTGTTGAATTTACTGTGCCATTGTTGCGCAGGCGAATTCAGCTGAATCAGCAGCATTGATTTCATTGTTGTTGTTGCTGTTGCAATTGAATTGGACATCTTGAATGTTTGCGTTGTTGTTGCAGCGGTTGACTTTTTCAAAAGCTGTGCGTAGAACAATTTAGTTTTTGTGGCAATTGCGTTTTTGTTGTGATTCATATACAAGAAAGAAAAGAAGAAAAAAGAAGAAGAAGAAAACATAAGTTTCAAATATTATTGTTATTGGATGTTGTTTAAGATTTAAGTGCAATTTTAAAAGTTTTTTGTTTTTTTTTGTTTTTGATAAACATTTGAATGACACAAATTGCGACACGTTTATTAACGACTAACGAGTAATGTGAAAGAAAACACATTTACGTTTACGAGTAAAACAATAAATGTAGAATAAGTAGCATTTAACAAGTAACAAGTAACGGAAACAATTATTATTTTTTTTATGTGGCAGCACTTACAACATAGATTGTAAAAAGTTTTGGAATAATTGGTGAAAAATCTATCTAGATTTTTCTAATAGTAATATTTTTCCTTTAGAAAACTTTTGAAGTTTACAATTTCAGAATTTAATTAAATTTTGTAAAGAAATATTCAAATTGTTTATAACTTTGTAATATTTTGTTCGATTGTATATTTTCAATGACACTTTTGAAAAGTTTTACTGATATTTTTTTTGGAATTTTAGTGTTTGATTGATTTTTTACTTCAAATTTTACTTCGAATGGACAGCGTTTCTTTAATAAATTTTTCTTGCAAATATTATAATGATACATTTTTTAATTTTTGAGAAACTTTTAATTTTTTTAAGCATAAGTTATGCTTCTGATTTTTTGCTACTTATGTTTTTTTTTTATTTTCTTACGCACAACATCAAGTAACAACAACATTCAATAACAATAAATTTAAACAAAAAGAAGTAAAATAAAAAGAAACTCTAATATATTAAAAGATTTAAAAATGAAAATATTTTATTCATGTTATAATTTTTAAAATTTATTTTGTTAATTTTTCGCGTATAATTTATAATATAAATTTTTAAGGGGTTTGATTTTTTTCTTTTTTTAATATTATTACAACCAAAATAATTTAACAACAACACTTATATTAAAATGAGTAGGTATAATTAGAAGCTAAATCGGATTAAGCTATTGCAGCACAATGAATAATAATATTTAGTTGGCTCAATGTAAAATATTTATTGTATTCGTAATAATTAAGTTCGCATAAAAATATATAAAATATCAAATAATCACTAATAAAGGCATATGCTAGTTTCTAATAATTTTTTTCAATGGTTTCAAATTAAATCACACTTTCATTTTTTTTCCTTTTATATTCTCGTTCGAAAATATATGTAGGCTAATTGTCAGAAGATAAGTGGTGATTGTTATTTGGGCCTAACGGTACTGGACCTCGCGACCGATAGCCTCTACTAAAGCGATGTGAAAACCCTTAGGGCAAAGAAAACTTACCACACGCTACTGTGTAAAAGTTTACGAAAATTCTATCACTGATGGGATGGCAGAGCACTTATTATTTAATTGCTACATATTGTCGTTGAATTATTTATGTAATGAAGACAGGCGACAACTTTTTCTAGATTAGCTTACATTTAAAATGTTTTCGTCTAACTAAATACATTCTCACTACGATAAGTTGAATGTTTTTCTATCTTATAATTTTTTCAAAGAAATGTGCTTACTTTGTTAACTAAACCATGCACCTTCTCATGCCAAAAATGAGTACAAATGCAAAAGCACTGCATACAAACATTTTTACGCTTCTCACCATTTTAATTCAATTTCAATGGATTATACTCAAGTATGTGTGTGGCTTCGCATATGTTATTGAACGAGAAAGTAAAACCAAACCAAATGCATTACCAAAAGGCAGTGCACTACACTACATACATACATATAAAGAGTAAATACTAATCCAGATAACAACATATTTACATTACTCATACACCAAGTAGACTTTATATGGCATGTATTTATGTATGTAGTATGTACATTATGGTGGTCCAAACAAAGTAAAGTCGGATTTTAAGTGCTCTCACCCCCTAGGATGGTTCTTTATCGAGCAAAATATACCCATGTTTTCTTTAAATCAGAAAATAGTTAGAGGTAGCTCAAATAGCTCAAAGTTTCCCCCGTATTTTATATGGGAAAAATGAATTTTCAAAATAGAAATTGTATAGAATTTTTAAAATCAATATTTTCTACCGAAAAAAAACTTTTTAGTCTCCTCAGCAGACCTCAAAGAATAATAGGTGCCAAAAACCACATAAAATGCAATGGGAACCCATGAAAATAGTTGATATGTATTAAGAAATGGTGAAATAAAAAATTGGGTGCTATTTTTTAAAGTCTCCTGTAGCGGATCAGAGTTTTCCTATTAAAAAATATAGTTTTCAAGGATGCTATACCATTTTTCTGAAAATTGTTTTTCCCCGATAAGACATAAGATACATATTAGGGTGATCCTTAAATAAAGGAGGCAAATTTTTACGTCAGATTTCCCAAGCCTCAACCCCTACATCGATGCTACTATAGTCGAAAATATCACATATAAGTTTTGGTCCCGAATGAAGTCGGTTAATGCGTGTCGCACAGGGGCCAAAGTTCAGATTACCCTATGAAGACTTCTTTATTAGATGAAAAAAAGGATTTAATTTTTTAAGTCCCTATAGAGGAATCTGACTTTGCCCCCTGTACGACAGACCTTTCCCGCCAATCCAATCGGAACCAGAATTTATAGCGACTTTTAAACATTTTCTGGTTAAAAAAAGGTATATTTTTTCAATAAAAACAAATATAAAGCAATAAAACCCCGACTTTATTCCCCCGCCTTCTTTTTTTTGGACCACCCTAATGTAAATATGCGTGAGCGTATAACATAGATACCTTTAAAATACATATGCATGTGAAAAAGCTTGTGGATATTGTAGTGCTGCATATCAACGTTCATGCCTTGTGTTACTCTTTCGTGGTTTAGTGCAAGTTCCTGTCTGCGTTAATGTTGGTGTGTGAACATTTTGCAATTAATTGAACTTTACTGCTATAACGTTTCGCACCCTTCAATAGCAACGGCAACACACCCACCACCATCGCCACCACATCCACCAGCAACAGCAATTGCGGTGTTGCCACGTCTCAGTTATTGACATGTCTCGCTTGCTTGCCTGCTTGCTATTACTAACATTAGTTGTTGCTATTGTAATGCATGGCAATTCACTTGCTGGCTGTACATTAGCTCCATAGCAAAAACATATGTGTCTGTTGGTTTAGTGCCGCCGCTGCTGCCTCTGTTGCCTCCGCCTACTCTCTCCCTCATCCGCTGTGGTTTTAGCGCAGTCATCAGCAGCTGCTGGCTATGCGCCGAGGCGCATTGAAGTTGCTGTCTGTTGCCACAATTGTTAAGCTCGGAACACTTTGACGACAGCAAGCGACAAGCAGCATCTGTCAAATTTTAAATACACACGTTCTTACGGACACAATTATTTTGAAGACAGCACGACATCTTGGCTGCAGGACTGCAATTGTCGACGTCGCCAAATTAAATCTATTTCTAATTTTGCCGGCGACAATGAGTAGATGTAGTGCTGCAAAATTAAATTGTCGCAAAATTAATCACATATTCTTGATTGTTCATGTTTTTCTTATTTACTTAAATAAAAATACACAATTTGTGAAATAAATATACCAAAATGTCAAACTTTAAAATCAGCTGTTTGCTATGTCGCTGAGGTCGTCAAAATGTTTAAGAAGCTGGCTTCAAGGCGACATTTGTCGACAAAATGATGTCGCTGTCGTTACGTCGTGAAGTTGCAGTCGTCAAAGTGTTCCGAGCTTTACTTGCAACAGCCACATCAACGCCTTTGCCACATCCGACACACAGCACAATCGTAGCGTTGAATTGCATGCTGGCACATTTGTGTTGTGGCGAAGGAAATAGAATAAAAACAAAAAAGTAATAGATTTTTGCTACTTTATGTTTTGTAGCGATTTTCTAGAAAATGCTCATCATTCCACTGCTGCGAATGTTTTTAATTTGGCTGCAAGAGTAGAAAAAATCGCTAAAAAATTTAGAGCGGGGGCAAAAAATAAAAGAACAATACAACTCGTAGTGACTTTGTTAGCTTAGCTGTGGTTTTGTTACTTCGCTGCGGAATAGAACGATAGAACGATAAAACGGCAACAACAACGATATAAGAGCACATAAGGCACTACGAAGCCACAACAAGAACTAAATATGTGAAGTGAATGAAACCATAAAGAAATTTGCTATTCGTCTGGCTTTGTTGATTAATTTCGATTACCGCTAACGAAGCAGCCGCGTCCCTTTCATCAGCGCACAATTGAGAAATGACGAGCTGGAAAATTTGTTCAACATGAACTTAGTCTGTAGTATATCGAGCCCTAACCGCCAAAATAACGTAAGCGACATTTTTTCCAAAATTTTCTTTTTGATGCAGAAATGTATCTAGATGCTCTAGGAATATCGTATACATTCGTACATAATTCTTCCATTTTTATAAATTTTACAGTCGGTAATTTTTTTTTTGTATTATAGTAAGCTAATTAAAAGATAATTAAATAAAAATTTTTTTTTCTAGCAGTAAATATTTTTTATTTAATTGTTATTAGCAGTAAAAAAAAGCCTTTGAGTGGAACGATTAATTTAATTTCCGCTGGAATTTAGTGACAATGAATTTCACTTAAACAAGCGTGAATCTATAAACCCAAAGGTATTCGCATTGGAATTTCATAGGTGAATGGAATTTAATGCCTTCGAAGAGGTGCACTAGTATGCGAGAAAACTGTGAATGTGGGATGCGGGCAATCGATTTATCAAAAACAAGAGGAAAAATACGTAAACATTTATTTAAAGAAAGGCAATTCAAATAAAACGAAATAAAGTAAAATAACATTAAGTAAAACCTAATAAAATAAAATGAAACGTAATTAATATTTGACTCTAATATTTGTGCCGAGTGCTTGGCTGAACTCTTCGTGGAGGCTTAAACTTTATTCCAGATGACAACCACCTATTACTTCTTGGTTAAAGTAGCACTAAATAGCCTCATGCACACTCAAATTTCCTCGAAC